AGAGAGAGAGAGAGAGCATTCAAGAATCAAATGCGTATCACAATACTCTGAAATCACCAAAAAAGAAAAAAAATACCATTACGCATGTAAAAACCAAAATATGGAAAATATCACATGCCCCACAATATTAGAAAAATAAAAGGCACATAATCTACTGTAAATTCTCTACATATCTCTCATTTTTGTTCCGCCCCTTCATTTAGAGAAGAGACAATTTTTCGAGAATATTGATAATTAATTCTAACCAAACCGAAGAAAACAAAAATAGAAACAAAAGACCCTAATGTTACATGTCGGAGCGTCCTTTTGCCTCAGTTCACTGTGTATCTATTTCAAAGCCCTACTTTTAGTGAGAGATATGGATGAGATGCAAATAGGAGTCGAACGATATTTTCCTTTAAAGGCAAAAAGGAAAAATGATGACTGTAACACCCTCACCCCTGGGGACGAGAGATAGAGATTTCACCTCAAAAAATCAGGGAAAATGAGAGAGCGAGAGAGAGAGAGAGAGAGAGAGAGAGAGCAATCACCTAGCGATAAAAAGAAAGAAACTTGGAGAACCTCTGAAAATCATGGTCACTTCTCCAAACAAATATGGTAGGGCGTGAAATGGCGGGAAGAACAAACACCTCTACGACTTATTCATACAAATTACAGAGAGATGGCTTACTTTGAGGCTATTTGATGGATGGAAGGTAATGTCCCTGGAATTTTAGGCCCTGTTTGATATATGGAAGGTAAATTTCCCAGGTAATTGGAAGTTAAAAAAATAAGTTATTTAAAGAAATTCGGAGGGTATATGTTTGATAACTTGCTCCAATGTTAAAGAATTTCTAGGTAACTGTCTTTGAACCTGTTGGAAAATAAAATCATGTTTATTTAAAAGAAAAAGTTTATATAAAGCCTAGGCTCTAAACAATTTAAAATTAGAGCCTACCTCAAAACTTAGACTATAAGAGGTCGTTTTGATGCCCAAATATCATTAAATTGATCATCTCGACATCAAGATGCATGGACATGAGAAAAAAATAGATTTCAAAATTTGAAAATAGTGCATCTTGTAACGCATTTTTGGACCGTAAATTTTCAAGATTTTCAAGTTTTCATATAACTACTCGATTTATACTATTTTTTAAGCTTTACATTTTATAACTAAAATGAAAATATAATTTAAGGCTATCACAAAACTTTTCAATATTGAAACCATATTTATCGACACTATTTGAAGGTGGGCTCTAATTTGATTGTTTAGAGCCTCGGTTCTATACAAACTGTACCCTTATTTAAATATTATAAAAATATTTTGTATTAAATAATATTTTCATATTAGACATAAAACCATATAATATAATATAATATATATATATATATATATATATATAGTATTGTAAATATCTATTACATACATAAAATATATTTTATAATAAAATATATGATATCTATAACATACTATAATATATAATATAGTGTATTTTATATTTATTTTATTAATATATAATAAATATATTAATATAATATAATATACAATATAGTGTATTTTATATTTATTTTATCAATATATGATATATAATAAATATATTATATTACATAAATGTATATAATATATAAATATATATTACATATAACATATATAGCATAATATTATATATTATATAATAAAATATATTATATACATAAATGTAT